AATATTTTACAGGGTATTTTTGTTTCAAATTAAGGTCTATTGTCAGTTTTATAGATAATTTATGATTTTAAACATGCTGGTATGTAAATGTAAATTTCAATTAATGAAAGTAAATGTAATAGAAAGTATAAGGTTTGAAATGCACCTTGTTAACATTTATGACGGATGCATGCACCCTGAAGAATGATCAGGTTTTCTTATGTGTCTTCTAGATCTGCTAAAGGGACAATGGAAAGACCAAAATCCCTCAATCCTCGATACTCCAGGGGTTACGTACCCTGACTTATTCCTGCACCCAGGAATATGTCATGGCAAAACTAAAGGCATGCAACTAGTTATTTGGTTGGTCTCGGGTAAAAGAACTGACATCCGACTTCATAACCGATCAATTTTACTGTTACACAGCCGCGAGATCCTTTTGATGTACAAAAAAGAATTAAACTAGTATTTTTATCTCATCCACAAAGTGGCCCACACTGAGCCTTCAATTTTGTCACGACATATTCCAGGGGTGCAGAGAGCGAAAGTGAGTGTTACAAATATACACTGGCAACTGCTTAACCTCTGGTTCACCCGTTGTCAGTATAATATGTGACCGGGCGGAATGTTGTGCCTTCAGCATGGTATTTCAATGAGAAAGCACTATAAAGTCGGCATCAGATCCGTGCTATCACAATTGCAAGGATGCAAGAACAGTTCTAAATTTCTAAAGTTCTTGCACATCTATGACCAAGTATTAAACAAAGCGTAGCTGAATCGAGTCATTTCGGTACATATATAACAACTGTTGTACATACGCTTACAGCGTAGTCGAAATCGAAATTGATTTTTCGTACAACTCGTACACATTTTTAGCACACCTGCCCAAAGGGGAAGTGAGCTTATGCCATGGTCCGGCGTCAATATTTTACTTTAAACAACTTCTTCTCAATAACCAAAAGGCCCAGGGTACTGATATTGGGCCTGTAGCATGCTGAGAGGAAGGGCTACTAAGTTTGTTCAAATGAATGACCTTGACCCACTTTCAAGATCACAGATTCAAATATCTTAAAAATTTCAAACAACTTCTTCTCAATAACCAAAAGGCCCAGGGTACTGATATTTGGCTTGTAGCATGCTGGGATGAAGTTAAGGGCTACCAAGTTTGTTCAAATGAATGACCTTGATCCACTTTCAAGGTCACAGGGGTCAAATATCTTAAAACCTTCAAACAACTTCTTAATAACCGAAAGGCCCATGGTACTGTTTGGTATTGGGCCTGTAACATGTTGGGATGAAGGGCTAACAAGTTTGTTTCGAATTAATGACCTGACCAACTTTCAAGGTCACATGGGTCAAATATGTTAAAACCTTCAAGCAACTTCTTTACAATAACAGAAAGGCCCAGGGTACTGATAATTAGCCTGTAGCATGCTGAGATAAAGGGCTACCAATTTTGTGCAAATGAATGACCTTTACCCTCTTTCAAGGTCACTTGGGTTAAATGTCTTAAAATCTTCAAACAACTTCTTCTCAATAACCAAAAGGCACAGGGTACTGATATTGGGCCAGTAGCATGCTGAGATGAAGGGCTACCAAGTTTGTTCAATGAATGACCTTAACCCACTTTCAAGGTCACAGGGGTCAAATATCTTAAAATCTTGAAACAACTTCTCAATAACCTAAAGGCCAAGAGTACTGATATTTGGCCTGTAGCATGCTGGAATGAAGGGTTACCAAGTTTTTTCAAATGAATTACATTGACCCATTTTCAAGGTCACAGGGGTCAAATATGTGAAAAACTTCAATCAACTTCTTCTCAATAACCGAAAGGCCAAGGGTACTGATATTGGGCCTGTAGCATGCTGAGAGGAAGGGCTACTAAGTTTGT